AGTTTAGTGGAAAAAGCTAGCATACCATATCCATGAACTGGTTGTGACCAACTCTCCTGCACTACGTTGTGGAAATCCGACCTTCTTAACCACATTTTCTGAAACCAAAAGCATCTTGGCCTACTTTCAATGTGTATATCAAACTGGAGGAGGAGAGGACAATGATAGGAAGTAGTTCGACTAAGATGCTCTATCGCGGTTTTCGGAAACATGTGAAACCATTCCCGGGAAAACAAGATACGATCTAATTTCTTGCTTAACCATCCCGTATGCCTTGTGCCGCCCCAAGTAAACTCATCACCAATAGGAGGAACCTCAATCAGATCACAAGCTTCAAGACAATGATTAAACTCATCTATTGCTCCATAATCTAGGACCGATGATCCCGAATATTCCTCTAAAGATCGAATTACATTAAAGTCGCCCCCAACCACCCAAGGTAAAGAAAGGCGCGCCCCTTTGAAATTCTCCAAACTACTCCAAAGAGTGCGCCTATCTATTTTATTCGACTTGGCATAGATTGAAGACGGCAAAAAGCTCTTTTGAAGCGGGATGTATCCAACCTCAAAGTGCAGCACCTGTTCTGACTCTATCAACATATTCACTGTAAAAAGTCTACTACACAACACCCAAATTTTGCTAGTGGGAGAAGCGAAAGCTAAATCAAACCCCAGCTCTCTTCTTATTTCTTCCAATTTTAAAACCGGAAGCATTGGTTCGAGAATGACCACAGAGGAAACTTTATAAATCTGAATCATAGATCGCAAGTGACGTTGAGAAGCCTGACTCTTTATTCCACGAATATTCCAAAAAATAAAACTAATCATTGGAAACTTTGAATTGAGAGGAACCTACTGAAGTCAAATAGAGCGCCTTAACTCGGCACCTTCAACTTGTTTAGCGGGCTCAGACTTCAGTTTTCGTTCACGTTTTTTCTTAACTGAACGTTCACCCTTGTCGTTCTCCACAATACGGTCTTCATGTATTCGCCTTCAGACCACAACTCATGCTCTTCCTTATCGCCGTCACTGTTATGGTGTTCCACTGCAAAGGAATCATCAGGAAAATGGATCGGACCAAACTTTGGTGCGGGGGATAGGTTCCGTATTTCTAATGCTAACATAGAACTATGAATATCCACATGCGATTCAGTTACAATCACCGATTCAATATTTTCCGTTCCAACATTCTATTCCTCTTGATTAATATCCTCAATAAGAATATTTTCCATATCATCATTGATATCAGCGACCACATGTTCTTGGAGAACCGAGAATCGATTTTCCAAGTGCACCGGCACCGTCGCATTTGACTTTGGGAGGTCCGGCACTGCTTCTTCCCTTACTGGAGTGGACTGCAAATCCACTAGTATTGCTCCTTTTTCGATTGTGGATAAACCCGAAGTGGATTCAATTTGGCGCGGCTCTTTCGCAGCTAGGGCTTCCGCAGCTAGGGCTTCCGCAGGGCGCGCTCCAAGTCGCGCTAGGGTTTCGTCCGCAGGGGTTCATCTTTGCCAGTAACATTTTGAGACTCAAATCCTTTGACTATCTGGGGGTTCATCTGCAAGATTTCTACTTCCAAAGCATCCTTCTTTGAATCCCCCCCTTTGAGTGGCCATTTAGGCTTCGTTGTTTTAATCTTTATCCCTTTCTTCTTCGAGATTGGGGCTACAGTAGTATCACCATCCATCTTTGACTGCGAGGGCTTCCCAACTCGACAATCCGCCTCCTTGTGCCCGATCTTACTACATTTTAAACAGTAAGATGGGATATGCTCAAAAGTGAAATTTTGCTCATGTTTACGACCGTTCTTGCCAATCTTCACAGATTTCGGCAGCTCCTTGGTTAGATCCACCTCAACATAAAACCGAGCCACAGAGGGACGAGTCATGTTCATTGTTGGTGTATCTACTTTTAATGGTTGACCAAGGGCTGTAGCCATCGAATAGATGTTCCGGATGCATGAACTCAATAGGAAGATCATAGAGTGCAAACCCATATTGGGACAACCAGTGGATCTTCTTCAAATCGGAACCCTGGCTTCCACTTCAACATGCGCATTGAAAATCCTCCAATGTTCCAACACGTCCGAATCCAACATCTTTGATAATCTTCCTCTTGCTTAAATCGGATTAATACGTGTCTAGGATTCATCAATCCTAGAGTGTAGCCACCATTAAATTCGATTTTTCTGAATTCATTGTGAATCTCCTCCATTTTCGAACGGGCCGTATGAAAATTTTCTGACCAAACACAGCCGATGAGGAGCAATCAATTGCTCAAACTCGTCATCTTCAAACTCTAATGTTGGAGTCCCATTGATAAACTTGACTTGCTTAATAAGCGAAGTCTTATTAGAATCTACATCCGCCCGTTTTTGGAAGAAGCTAGCGAAGGAGCGTGGTGGCGCATGATGTTCCACCGGTGGATTGCCGGCCATGGCCGCCGCTCCACATGCAAGTGATCGATGCTAGGGTTTGGGTAGAGAGAAAAAGGGTATTTTTGGAAAAAGTAAAGAGGGCTTTTAAACTAATTAAGATATAAACTATTAAAAAGGTTAATAAAAACAGTCAAAAATGAAACAAATCGGCCCAAGCAAATAATAAACCCAAAGAAGTCTTCTAATTTGGCCCAAACTTTAGTAAAAAAAATTCTAAAAAAAAGGGTCCACCTGCTTTATAACATGTGAATAGTTTCCTTCAACTTTGAAGGGATAGCGGGCCAATTAACAGAGCAGGACGGAGCGGAGCGGGCTGCGTTGGAGAGCCCACTCCGCCAAATCCAACACGTCCGCCCAGTTTAGCAGACGCGTTGGAGATGCCCTTAGAATAATCTTGATGAAGCAGTGGAGAAAGCAAAGTGCATGAATTTTGTTTTTCATGATTAACAAAATCAAAGAAGCATGATAACAAATCTTTAGTATTCATCTTGATTTTAGGCATGCCATAATTGAGAAGTCAGTGGAATTTCTATGAAGGCACAAACATATATAAACAAGTAGTTTCTCTATGGGTTTAGTATGAGATGGTTTGGGGACGTCACATAATGGCATTTAATTAAAGTAATGCAGAGAAAAGAGTTGTCCGGCTAACTTGAAAGGTAATTTCTTCGAAAGTACAACGAAGTAGACAGTTAGTTTGCATATATATGGTAAATAGTTTTAGCCTCAACTAGTTACACAATTTTCAACTCTTATCTATAGTATTATACTAAGAGAGAAACCATGGAGAGGGAATCAAACTTCTCCTCCCGTTGACACATAGGACAAAATCATATATGTCATTTTCCTATAGGTTGTTGTAAAAAATATTTACAACAATTACACAAAAAGTCCTTGAAATTTTCAGTTATTCAAGTGTTATCAAATCGCAATTCAAGTATAACAATTATATCAATTAATTATGTGGTCATTTGGTGAGATGAACAAAAAAAACGGAAAATTAATTAAACAATCTACATTAATGTTTTTTTTTCAGTATGTCTCACCCAAAAAAGGTAAATATTTATTTTATTCATAATAAAAGCTGGTGGATTTGAAAAACTAATTCAATTAGCGAAAATAATGCAATCACATATTAAATCAAACATTAACCAAAATTAATGATCTTTTGAAATTAAAAAATAATTAATGACAAAATCATCGGTTAATCTTCTAGCCTTTCATTATCGGTGAAAATGATCCCCTGCATTAATGTCTTTTTTTTTCATTATATGTCTCCCAAAAAGGTAAATATTTATTTTATTCATAATAAAAGCTGGTGGATTTGAAAAGCTAATCCGATTAGCGGGAATGATGCAATCACATTTTAAATCAAACATTAACCAATATTAATGATCTTTTGAAATTCAAAAACAAGTAATGACAAAATCCTCAGTTATTCTTCTAGCCTTTCATTATCGGTGAAAACGATCCCCTCCATTTAATATATCAGCAATTATTTATTAAACCCCAAAAATCAGCAAACACCATAAATACAGATGATATAGTACGATATGATCAAAATTGGGAAAACACTCTATGCAAATATTATATATATGTTGACAAAAAAACCCATAAACCGCTTGCACAATATCAACAACTCCCATTCCTTTATTTCGTCGGTACAAACAACCTCGACCACCTTTATCCATATCGACCTCCAGCAGCAACAACACATATGATTTCATAAAAGATTTGACACCCATGGTTGTCAAGTATGACTAGAAAGTTAATGTTCGAATCCTCAATGTATGGATAGCAACTTTTGGGGCCAACACATCCGTAGAAGCTTTGCTTATTGACGAACATGTTACAAATATATTTTAGTGTTTATACAATTAAAAAGTATACCTTAATAAAATTGTAGTATAATTTTATCGTCGGATTTCTAATGATTTCAATTGTTGTTGTTTTGATTATATAAATATAATTGACATAGTCAAAAGATTCAAACTTCTGTCTACAAAAAACTCATGTGAAAATGATTCTCTTATTTTAAAATTCCTTTTTCTTCTTTCTCATTCATCACTTATTATATTATGGTTGTAATATTACTTTTTCCTTACTACAATTTAAATCATATTTGCATTTTTTACTATTTTGCAGAAGTACACAACAATAGTTATTTTGTCTTTTTTCATTATATTTATTTAATATTCATTTTCAGTAATTCATACAAATCCATTTTTACCAAATTTAATTATTTTTACATATTTTAATGCTAAAAACATGTACACAAATCATGTGCATCGCACGGGTTTAACATCTAGTATTACACTAGACTACAAATCTTGACACCAATGACTTTCAATATTTTCTAAATTTTTAAAAATGAAGTAAAATCATAACATCTCATTGGGTGAACATTTAATATAAGCGAACTTTAATCTTTCAAAATATTATTGAAAGAGTAACATATTATCCAAAATATAGATAGATAGAGAGATATTTTCATTAGTGAGTGGCATTCTCTGTAATCACCACCCTAGCGTGAGTAAACGATTCATGTTCTAAACCTAGATATGGTGGACAAACAGGATGAATCAAGCAATATTGAAAGAAAGAAGATTGCCGAATCGAATTGGTTCGTGGGGGATGGTGTGGTTATCATCAAGCTAGATGGAATGTTATCCGATCGTGGCGAGCAATCTTATGTTTCTTTGGGTTCCATGGAAGAACCCCAAAGGGACAACCTCTTGATTGGTTGCCTTCTGGAGGTACTGTTCATGAACAAAATTCTGGAAATAAAACAAAATTTACGACATAAAGATAATTAGCTACTGGTGTTGAGTCTGCTTCTAAGCAGGGTGCCCTGAAATATGTAAGGAATATTGCTTCAAGTAAAATAGTTACAAAGGTGAAATCTAAGATTCAGCAAGGGGGTGGGATTCCTGTTCAGACCAGGAGTAAAGGTGCTCCATCAGCCTGACACTATTGTACATCAAATTCAAGAACTAAAATCTGATATGCAAAGGGTTGCTAAGTAACTATTACTTTTAAGGGCTGCATATGAAACCGAAAGGAGAAAAGTTATGATCTCTAGCATATCAGCTTGAAACACTAACTATTTAGTGGATATTTGTTTTCGGGAACAAACATGCTAACACAAGCATAGTTAGTCGTATCCTTATGCTTTTATTGAATCAAGGATTTAATGGAGTCCTGAACTGTAGGTCTAGCTGGATAAAATTGATAGTGGTGGGAATCTGTTGTCCACCATTTTTTGTGACACTGTCAAGAATATTGATGATATCAACAATTATCTAGACCAGTTAACAGAACTTACAAACATGTTTGCAAGCCGTATCAACATCTTATGTTTTCTATGAAGCTCTCTAGAGAAATTGTTAGCATAATTGATTGTTCTGATACTGAGGAGGTCAATGATCAAATTCTGGTGTCAGTTAAAGACATTTCAGTAGCCGTGGCAAAAAAAAAGAAGGAAATAGTAGTGTAGTTCTTTTGAACTCTAATTTACTTAAGGCTTGTGAAAGTAGTAGCACCAAGATCATCATTGTTTATGATCCATCAATTAACATGGTGGACCCACAGTCTTCTCATCACTAGTGACAAAGACAAGTTGACTTTGATTGATTTTTATTGCATGATATTGTTTCTGCGATATCTCATGTGAATATTTTAGCTAGTTCAAGTTTGGTGCAATTAATATGAAGGGTAAGAAAATCTTCTTAGTTTGTGTAGTGTACTCCATGTACAAGTGGAAACTCATTTAATATTGGTGAGTTCTATAATATAGAGTGTGATTCTTTACAAATTAATTCAAATGTAGCCTTCCCCATCTAAAACTCCTTGAACTCTTTCTTATTCGGAAACCCAATAATGTGGCATTGTTCCCACCATGTTTATTACTTATCCTTGACCCTTGCAGCATTCTTTTGTTTCGCTGCCCCTTTAGCTTCCAACTTCTCTAGTATTTCCTGACAATGGATCAATAACATCAGCAAGTAATGCTGCATGCCTTCCTCTCCTAGACTCCATTATTGAGATTCGATTCTGTGAGGATCTTGCAGTTGAAGATTGTCATATCTCAATATGGACATTTCTTAGTTTATTCTTAAGGTTGGATTCAAAGAAGAGCTTCTCCTTATATTCATTCTGCAACAAATTCTACGTCTTCATCCTTCTTTTCTTTTTGCTCAAGCAATGTATCAACGAAGATATGATCTCCTTATATTCATTTATAATTCAATCATTTGCAATTAAAAAAAAGCGTAATATAGAAAATAGTATACCAGATAATTTGTCAAATAGAATAGCACAAACCATGTGCATACTTACTCACAAAAAAAAGTATGAACTGAAAGAATTATAGTTTGAAGCCCCAAAATCGGGCGAAAATTGTAACGTTAAAAATATTAATAACCATCTCTTTCCCTGTCAATATTTTTGGGTGTGTAGTAACGTCCTCTATGAGACATTGTGTTAGATAGTTACAATAGTTTCTTTTTAAGATGTCTACCGCTTGATTAATGTACTATGATAAATATTGATAGAATTATTCCTTTACTGAAGCATGTCACAGTTGGTAAAGCAAATACCATCCAACAAAACATATACACACATACACACATACATATATATATATATATATATATACAGAAGTAACCTGTAACACAATTTTTAAACTATCAAATTTGAAGTAATATCTCTTTATAAAATTACTATATGTCCTTATTAATGACAAACTATATTCTATGACACTTTAGTATTTAACGTTTTAGTATTCTATGACACTTTATGACACGGTTCGATCCCACCAGTTGGCGACAGTTGTTAGAGCAGCAAAACTTCACTCTCCTATGTAAGTGGGATTAGGGTGAAAAGTGCCTAAAAACAAAGTAAAAAGGGCCAAAGCCAGTCCTGAGAAGTGCACCATGGAACCACTCTGACACTCAAGTCAGTAGAGGGCTTTAGGCATTCCCATGGTGAAAGTAGTGAATAGAAAGTCTAACCTTCACCTGAGATGTGGGATACGGTATTTATGGTGGGAATACCTTAATCTCAATGGTTGAGATTATCTTCTCATTGTACCAGATTGCATCTTCGAGACCGGCATATTGCTATCCGGTTCTCCTCACACGGATCCCACTTGGTCCCATTATCTTAGCTAAATGTGAATCCTTCTAGAACTTGGGTTGATTGTGGGCTTAACCCTTAGTGGGCTTTGGCCCACTACTCCATTAAGGCCATAATTTAGGTTCTTTTAGGTGTCTTAGACATTAATCTAAAATTGACGCATTTTAAATTGATCGCTTACTTGTTACGACTAATTTATTCATCTAATTAAGGTGTTAGTATTTGTTTACTGATTGTCTTTTTTGTAATCAACATAAATTATTAGTCTTCATCCCTGTGATCGAGATTGTTAGTTCAAAAGCATCAATCATTAAAATTTTTAGCTGGGCTAACAATGTGAACGAGAATAAAAATTTATGTGAGTTTGTGTTATAATTGGTTTTGAACAAGGCCCATCAAGGCTATAACAGGGAAAGACTATTGTAGATTTGGATTCATTGTTTGTACATATTACTAGCTACAGTACAATGGAGGGATCATCCAAAATATTGAAAATGCTAAGAAGGAATTTTTGTAAAATTACACTGTCATACATTGCATTGTACTCATGTAGTTGGAAAATGATTTGGTTGACAGCGCGCTTCCATCCATGTGATGTGAGTTTAGTATCTTAAGTCGTTTGGCCTTCTTTATAATACCAAAAACAAATCTAATAACTAAAAATTAGATTATGGATTAAATTTTTTTAAAAAAAAAAAAGAAGAAGAAAAACAATTGTTAGCTTATAACTTGTTAGGGATGCATTACATCGTTGACATGTGGGATATACCTTGTCTCTCAAGTCTCAACAATACAAACGTTGCAAAACAACAAACCAAGATGACATCTTATTCCCAAAACTTACAAGAAAAATAATAAAACAAATGAACCAAAACTTTTTCCCCTTTCATTAGTTTCTCTGTGATTACAATAACAATTGCTATTCCATTTATATCCTTCAAAAGTTAATTAGATGCAGTAGTCGTGGTTTTGGAGAACCGCACACAATCTAGACTCTTACGATATCATGTCCTTTTTTGGCCTTTTGCGTCAGAGACTTTTTTCTCCACATCCTATGAAATAAGTAAAAAAAATAATATAAGAAGAAAGAAAAAAGTAAAGCAGGAAAAAGAGTGTAACTCCCTTACACAACAAATTTTATTAGTGATAATTTAAACCCCTAAATACAAGCAGTAACACAAGGTACCCTCAACGCTAATTGAAACCTTGACAACAACAAATGCTCCAAGCTCTTTTGCAATAGAGAATTAACAGTTATCGATATCGGCAACAATTACTATTGGTGCATCAAATACACGATCTATCAACAAATCAGGCGTCATATCTAAGTCCATGAAATATGCCTAGAAAGTATATATGTGACGGCCCAAGTCTCAAGTACGATTATTTAAGCTATTATATGTTCAAACTTCTGATTTTTTTTTTAACAGTGGAAGGCTAATAATTACAATAAAGATGTTTCCAAAATTTATTACAAATTCTGAAGTTCAAATAAGCGCTAGACTAAAGAAAAGCCAAATGCTTCTCTTCGCAATCAATTCAATTTATTCTTTCCTTAACTCAGCTAACCTGTGAGGAAAAATAATGGGATGAGCTTTAAAGCCCAGTGAATACCTCAAACAACAACTCCCAGTCTCTCACACTCCATACGGTAATCAAGTCACATGCACATGCAGTTATTCACACAGTTCATTTTCATCCATCATTTTCATTTATTAAATTGTCTACAAAGTTCTATCAATATAACTGTTAGACTAACATTATCTACGCAATGAATTGCATTTGAAAAAGAAACATTTAGTCACATTAGCACATAAAAGATGACCATATCCGAGGCCATTGACATATTCTCATGAGGATACGAGTGGATCTTAACTGGAGACTGCCGAAGACCTATGTGGTCTTTTGGGTTGTCTTCCAAGTTAGATTCCCAATTGGTGTTCAAGTTACATTTCAAATCCAATAACAATAACCCATCACTTCAAGTGGCCACAACAGTCAAGTACTCGTAGCTCGTGCACGCCTACTAAAGCTATCCATAGTCTATCCATACGTCTGTGCCCAATGCCGACCTGTTGGATTTGATCTATGGTAGCAGGACCCCAAGACTGGTGTGATAATGTACACATTCAAGTCTTCAGAATTACATGGTAATTCATGCACAAGTTCTTTACAACACAGATCATGACAGTAGCAATTCTCGGTGTGATAAAGTACACAACCAAGTAAAATGACAAGCAACTCAATTCAATTAACACATAGACAAATAATAGCAATACAATCACGTATCACAGGTTCATGTAGTAGCTTAAAGCTCGCACTTCGATCAGGTAAAACCACATAAGCACTCAACAGTCATGCACTGAGAAGGGGAGACAAGGTTACAATATAAAGCGTGAGAAGAAGTACTCACCTTTGCCCTTGTCCCACTATGATCAGGTTACAAATCTGTTAACAGAATATTTGAAATTGTTAATGTTCATTACTATTCTAAAACTAAATAGCTGCCAAAGTTATAGATTCCTATAATGTATTTATTTAATAATTATTCTCTAATGCATGTTCCGTCGTCTTCTTAACTCTCATAGTTCTCACTTATTCATCGATGAAGAAGGATGAAAGATAAAGGAAAATCTATGAGAAGAGGGAAACTGGAAACACCAAGTCAATAACTAAAATTTTGAAGTTCTGAAAACTGAGTAAAAGAGTGGTTGAGGAGTCACATTCAAACCATGTTTTCTAACAAACCATGTACCCAATTCGCGAGCTGTTAAAACCAGTACAAACTAGGTTAATTGAACTAAAGTTTCATCCCTGGATATCAGGAAACGCGGTGTAAAAACAAGAGAAAACAAGTCACCAAACAGCAGCTAAATCTCAAACTCTGAAATTTCATAAAATCAGGATTGCTAGGTCCTCTTCAACTACGATTTCAGAATCAACCAAGGATCAATTTCAAGGTCTGTAAAAATTGAAATAAACTTTGTTCAACATAGAAGAGGTTTGTGGAAAAAACCTCATAAAATAGTTCAAGAACCAGAAAAAAAACTGATATGCAAATTGCCTCTTTAAATGAGATTCTTCAAAAATTCCAGAATTAGTCGATCATGTTCAAACCCAATTTTTGGGCAATTCGCAGCTCCAATTTACAATCCGTAGACTCTATAGTAAAATTCCACCAGCATAGAAGACATTCATAAAAAGAAATTTCATAAAACAATTCAAGATAAGGGAGAAACGATTCTCCGAAAACAGCAGTACAAAACAGAATTTCAGGAAACAGCGGCCATGTTCAAACCAAGTTTTCGGACAATCGACAAATCCGTTTCACAATCCGTAAAAACTTGAACAAACTTCACTGAATGGAGAAGGGATTATGAAAAGAAATCTGAGAAAAGAGTTCCAGAGATAGGAGAAAAAAAAGCCTAAAACAGAGGGACTCGGATTTGATGTTTTCTGCATTTTCCGGAAAGGACCAATAAAGTCCTTTCAGCATGTAATTTTCTCCCAGCATCCCATAATCCTAAACCAAACTTAATTCCCAGCTCCCAGTAGATCAATAGACCATCTTCGGACTAAAATTAACGTTATTAACATCCCTACCTATAGGCATGCAACTCATGAATCTAAGAGCTAATTAAACAAGTGCTATTTGCCTACTTCGCACCAATCATTTTATAAACTTAAATCAATAAATTTAGCTAAGGAATTCTCAAGATTGTTACCTGCTCTAACTACTAATAATCTATCCTAATGCCCGAGTTGTCGACTCTTCCAAGCACGAACCGGTTCCACACAAAATTTTTGTTCCTCCTTCTTCTTTTCACTCCTTTCTTTGAGCCTTCCTGCAACCCTCTCCTACACTCAATTTCTTCCTCTTCTTTATCCTTCTTAACAGATTAACAGTTGATAGAACATGGCAAAAAGAGTATTGTGCAGGGATATTGTGCAAAGGAGAAGAAACGTTGATGTCCAGCGATGGTGGGAATTTTGAGGGATGGGTGCCGCTTAGAGGAGGAAAGGAGGGTTGATGGTCTCGTGTGGCTTAAAGGAGGAAGAACGGAGGTCATACTGTAGTGGTTCGAAGTGGCTGTTCGGAGAAATTTGCATTCGGTTGAATGGATTTGGATTTTTGAAGAAGAAAATGGAATTGAGTGTGTGAGTGTGTGTGGATGCGTGAGAGTGAGAAAGGAGAGAGGAGGCAATCTTCAAGTGTTGTTTAAGGAATGTGTGGGAGAGTGGTCAAAAGAATAGAGATTATATGTGTTGTGTTGTCAACCGAATAGGGTAGTAAAAGTGCTGACTTGCACCTCCCATCCTACACCTTAAACCTATTATATTTTATTAATCAACCAACCTTTAGGAATGGTTCATATTTAATCAAAACTCTAACTATTCCTTTAATTTATTATACACAGAATAAAGATTATCTTGCGTATCTTTTAAATATTTTGTTCATAACTGAAATTATATGTAGCTAATAGCTACTGATTAGTCGGAACCTAGGTACTAATCACACCATTCATACCGTAGCAGAAGCGATCTGGAAACAGGTCTCACAATATAAATGTAATTGTGATTTTTTTTGGTGTTGAAAACTAGATTTCTTAAGTTCCTAATGCACCAACAAGAACGTTAAAGTTTCTAGCACTTATCCACGCCCGAGTCAATTTCTACTCATACTATAGATATTTAACTAAGCTTATATGTTTTTTTATAAATATAGAAAAGAAAAAAAAAAGAAGAAAAGAAAATCGAGCCTCTCACGTGCGACTTAATTAGTTTATGAATTACTTAAAACCCTTTTGATTCAATTTAATCCCGCATATAGATTTAGATTTTGAGCTTTTGAATTTTGTTAATTACTATATGCAAATTTCAATAGGCATACAACGGAATTGATTTTCTTTGGAAGCAGTTTAGAAGTTTAATACTCCATTCGTTCCTAATTATAAGCCATCTTTTAGGGTCTTTCTTGATCCTTTTTATAAAGAATTTGATGCCTTTATGGTTCCATTTATAGTTTACTATTAACATTATCTCGCGTAAATTCAATACATTTCAATTTGATTGGGTCCTGAAAGAGTGTGGACATTTTTTAAAATGAGTAATAGAGGTATTTCACCAAAACATAACTAACTTACAACTTTAATTTTTGCAAATTAGTTATTTATGTCTATATTAAGCACATGATGGAGTATTGATAATAGGCTATCATTTACTTATTGATAATATTCATTTATCAATAAGTTAATAATATTTATAGATTAATAGAAATTTTGGGGCCAAAGATATTAGTTTAAAGAGGATTTTACTACAGTTCGTAAAATAATGGCCTTGGGCATTTTATCAAAAATAATGAATAGCAGATTTGTCGATAATATATATATATATATATCTTTTTGTTATCAAAAGTAATTATAATTCCACCATACTGTTAAATCTATCAACACCAGTCACTCTCCTTAAAGTCTTTTTTTTTTTTGGTTCAACATCATGCTTCACCAAAATATGAAACTTTTAATACCTAAATTCACAAAGTCTATTTTGATTCAAAAATTTTTTTCTTAATCTCTGAACTTGGTTTCTTTTTGATTTTCAGCTTAGCATTTGACAATTAGCTATATGTATTATAAAAAATAGTACCTCCGTCACAGAAAATAGTTAAATTTGAAAAATTAAAATATAAAAATTAGATGATTTAATCTCATAAAATAAAAATTTATATTAAAAAATAGAATAAATTTTCATGAAATTTTATCAATTTAATAATTAATTTTAAGTTATACCAAGCTCACAAGTCCAATTTTAAGATTTTATATTTCTAAAATTGAATTAATTTTTTGAGATAATAGGTAGTAACTTACTAAAATTTTAAAATAACTCCAAAGTCTAAATGTGAAATTTGGAATCTGCACAGCTCACAAGTCCAATTTTAAGATTTTATATTTCTAAAATTGAATTAATTTTTTGAGATAATAGGTAGTAACTTACTAAAATTTTAAAATAACTCCAAAGTCTAAATGTGAAATTTGGAATCTGCACAAATATTTTTTAATGAGAAAAAAAAAGAAATTAATAAGCGGAGAAGAATGGTTAAAATTGCAAAAATTGTAAAAACTATAGGACTTGATTCGTAGTCCTTTAGAGCTTTGAAGGCCAATTCCACAAATTCATGTAATAAAGACAGATTATCAAGATTATAGCCTTTTTGCAATATAAGTTACGGAAGTGGAAGTTCATCTATAAATTGTTGAAACTTCCAAATTGAAATTGGATCATAAATCTTCTTCGCTTTCGCTGGAAAAATACACAGCCATCGCCACCGCCAACGCCACCACAATCGCCACCGCCGCCGACCATTTGTTAGCTACCGAGGTTCTGCATCTTCCTAGAGTAAAAGACAGCACAAGCTTTTCTTTTCCGAGGATCTTCAGTAATGGAGGATGACTAATTCTGGATGAGCAGTACGAGCATACCCATTTAAACCTAATTTTTTTTGTTTTTTTTTCCCCTTGGTGTGTCCGGGCTTCTCCGGGCACATAAACTAGATCCGTCCTTGTATCAAGTAAATAGCATATGTCTCACATACATTGATTTAATGTCTATCTATCTTTTTTGTTGTATGATTTAATGTCTATGTATCTTTTTGATACAATGAAGGAGGCAAATGCCTAATTAACAGATTTCTGGGGATATGCTACCCTGTTACATATTGCTCCAGCCATGATTTAATGTCTTTATCTTAATGTGTCATTTGTAATTTTTACTGATTCATATGTATATTGCTCTTCTTGCATTAAAAAAAAAGTGTGACGGCATGTTCTGGGGGATCTTGTAGAGTTGGATTAAATTGGATTGGATAAGTGCAGCTTCTTGATTACCTGAAATCCCCCGAAGACATTCTGGATTTGCTTTTATTGTAATGATGGAGAGCTTGCAACAGTTAGAAGTGTTGTGTGAAAGGCTTTACAATTCTCAAGATTCAGCAGAACGAGCGCATGCGGAAAACACTCTTAAATGCTTTTCCGTGAACACTGATTACATACCTCAATGCCAGTATATTCTGGACAATGCATTGACTCCTTACGCATTGATGCTGGCTAGTTCAAGCTTGTTGAAACAAGTCACAGAGCACAGTCTCTCATTGCAGCTCCGCCTTGACATCCGTAATATTTTGTTCTCAACGCGTTCTTTTATTATCCAGTCTCCTGTTTTATCTGCTGGCCTACTTTTTCATTATTTGTATAATTTTTGTTCGCCCATGTTGAATACTCATCCTGTATCTTTGAAATGAGCTAATTCTACTGCAAGTATTGTTTTTCATGTACTCCTTTAATCTTCAAATTTGAAAGTGAGAGCACTCTGGCAGTTATGTTTTGGCTTATAACTTAAATTCTTATGTTTGGTTCTATGAAGGAAACTACCTTGTAAGCTATCTAGCAAAGAGAGGTCCTGAGTTGCAGCCTTTTGTGGTTGGATCCCTCATTCAACTTTTATGTCGTATTACCAAGTTTGGATGGTTTGACGATGACAAATTCAAAGATGTTGTGACAGAATCTACAAGCTTTTTGAGCCAGGTAACATTATGTTTTTCCCATTGGTTAAAATATACGAATTGCACATCTAGTTCTGCATCAGGGTGAAGTGTTTAGATGTGCAAACTTTCATGTTCTTTGCATGACAAGGTTTCTGCATAAGTTGGTCCCTGCTGCATTCATATTGTATTTTTTCACGAAGTTAATCTTGCTGTTAACCTGAGCTAGTTGATGCTCGTATTTGCTTGTTTGAGTGGCTTATGTTTTCTGCTGAGTTTAGGACAGGCAGAAAGATGAGTGGTTCATTGGTGATGAAAATTCTGATATATTTATTTTTTATTTGTGTATGTCATTCAAATAGAAACAGATAGAATTAGAGGTAGGGCTGGCTTTATGAAGGATTTGATGTAAGGAAATCATACTTTTGTGTCTTATGGATGTGTATTACTGGATAGTGAAATGATATAAGTGCTACGTTGTCACTTACATCTACCTGAAAAGAATGCTATTTAAATTGAGATTATGTGAAAAGAAAGGTTATATTGTTTCATCTCTAAATTCTATCTTACATCTGTTTTATTCAAACCATCTTTGTGGCTTGAAGAGATGCCCCAATACCACCTTCAGAAAATGGAAAAATAATTAGCTCTAATAGGAGGTTGGAGAAGACCATGAAAGCTTTGCAAGAAAAATATAAGGACATCGTATTCAAAGCTTAATGAGAAATTGAACTGGATGGCAGATATGATGTAGTTGACCCCACAGAATGAAATATAGACTATTTTGTGTGATTTTAGCTCATGTGCAACATCATTTTCTTTTGGTCACAATGTATAGATCTTTGGTGTAGTGATGCAGACAAGGAACGGTAGAAGAACTCTATCGTTAGGTTCTTTTATAATTATGCCAATGATGATCTTTGGAAGAAACCAAAGAGTTAGAGCTTTGGTTAGTTTAATGTTTTAGTTAAGTTCTTTAGCAATAAAGCAGGAATTTTAGTTTCTGTATTTTTAGCTGTCTTAGGATATTTCAATAATTTTTCTATTTGCAGGTTTTTCTGGAATAGTAGGAAATTAAAAGTGAATTGTACTTGTCCTTGGTTTAGGTTAAGATAAAGGCCTACAAATATTTTACTCCCTGGGGGAGAAAAGCGGAGATTGCAAAAACAAACTTTCCTGCGAATAAGCTTTGCTTTTGCATTGCCACGTGATACAATTTTTAAACCCTAAGGTTTGACACTGAAGGTGACTAAGAATGATTCTTAGTTTCATCACTCTAAATTTTGTTGCTATACTACTGTTATTTGCTAACTCCGTTAATTTCCTGCTGCCTACTTGTTGTTAAACAACCTACGAGCTGTTTTAAGATGCACTCACGCTATTGCTTCGTCATGCGTTCAGTTGATTGTGTATGAGAGTGTTTAAATGCACAATGTAAACAACTACTATGGCTACCCCTTGAAAATAGTAGTAGAGAGGCTTTGCATTGTTCTTGAGTTTTGAAGTTGTTTTGTATAATTGAGGGTTTTCGATCATGGCCGTTTTTAATAAGGTTTTTTTTTTTTTTCCCTTTCTCTCTCTCTCTCTCTCTCTCTCTCTCTCTCTCGCTCTCTGAGCCAATCAAACTTTGGAGCAGCAGTTTTATTAAAATCTTAGGCTTGGTGAAAGCTGGAGACTAAAAATAGTAACATGTCTGAGTCTCAGTGTTGCATTGTTTATGAAACCCACATTACTTGGTTTCTAAAAGTGCTGTGCACAAAAAATGTTGCCACTCACTGCGTATCATGTTCATGTTGTACAGGTTAGTGGGAAGAAATTCTTTTCGTTCTTAATATGTAAAGCTAATAACACCTTAACTATGGATCAGCAAAAACTGGGATGCGTGGAGTGTGAAAGATTATCTAGAAGACATAATTAGTGTTCATTGTTTCTTGAAATGTGCATGACCACAGACCGGCAACTTTTTTGTGGTTTATCTTTGGAGAATTTAGTCATATTCAAATCACTTAGGTTGCCAGTGCAGCAAGTCACTAAAGAAGAGCAGGGATAAATGAATAGAAAGGAATTCTAGAAGCCCTTGAAGTTGAATTAATAGCGGGGCCGGAACACACAACTAGAAATACAATGACGAGGCCATAAATGGCTGAAAACAGAGAACACTTTTTCTGTAAATCTTAATCATGTTAAAGCTCATAGACAAGAGATCCTAGATGCCACTTCTAATGCAGAAGTCAAGCCTAGGCATTCTCCATACCATTTACAATCCAAATGTGGAAACAACTTAAAGAATTGTAACTGCTAAGAGATGGAGAGCTCTGTTACTGCCATGAACTTCTGAAATCAAGTTCCCGCATTAATTTTACCTCTAATCTTTTCTCTAGAGCACTAAAATCTATGATGAATGATCAGAAAAGGCAGCGAGCAATTTGTTGTGGATCTATAACTGTAATAACTCCCGGGGGAACAAACTTATTAACTAATTTTTACCATTTAGGATTTTGATGTTTGCTCCATTTTTCTGCAGTAATGTTGTCTTGTTGTGATTGGGGATCAGTTAGAAGCAGAGTGCACTCTATTATTGTGAATATCGATACAAGATGGAATTTATTGTTCTTTTTGAATAATTTTGAAACGATTATTTCTTCGTTATGATTTCGTCTTTCTGATCCTCAATGTATGCAGAACCTGAACTTGTTCAAAGTAGTTGTCCTTTGTATAAAAGTATGATTAGAAGTTTAATGTATTGTTTAACAGCTGTCCTTGTTTTCTTTTGTTTTTTTTTTTTCTTTGAAGAAGAACACTTGTCCTTGTTTTGTTACTCAGTTTGTAAACATTGTTGACACTTATGTGAACACATTAGATTTTGCCGTTTTCTCAGTTCTTGTTTAGTATGCCACATTTTTCCATCATTCCCATATCCCATGTTTAAACTCGATGATATGTTGGGTAGATATTATTAATTTGAAGTATTACAAGATAAAAAACTTGTCCACACGCTTGCAGAAATCTTTAGAAGGGCTGATAATAGTTCTTCAGTTTCTGTGAACCGAATCAGTGAACCGCCGGGGAGACAAGATGGAAAAATAAGGGTGAAAACTTCGAAATTAAAGTTAAAATATCTAAAATAACTGAATATGAATTTCTTTTGATATAATTTGCAACAAAATTAAGAATATATGACCAGCTATTCATAACCTAACATTAGCTAAAGAGATAAGGATCAGGAAAAGTATTCTCTTTTTTGTGAAATAGAATTCCAGTTTGCGGCCGCTGGGATACCACTCATTTAGTGATAAACATGATCTTTAAACAAACAACTACTAACAGACTATCCTCCTTTCCCCCTCTGTTCTGCATCCCCCCGTGTTCTGCACTAAAATTAACTCCAATTTTTTTATGTAACTAAGAAATTTCTTCTGACATGAATTTTTCTAGTATTAAGTTTCTGGGTGTAGTTGCATCTGTTACTATTTCCACTTCAGTGAAGTACTATATGCATTCATATTTAATGCATTGATTTCGTACTCCTTGACATGCATCAATATTTTCTTTTTCCTTTGAAGAAAATATTCAAGCATGATGTGTCTTGAACCTATGATTGAATGCTGCTGATGGATTATCTCTTATTGTAATCTCTAACGTTTGTGTCTTCCCCAGGCAACATCGTCAGAACATTATGCTATTGGTTTGAAGATATTGAATCAACTTGTTTGTGAGATGAATCAGGTTAGTTTCTTTGTTTAATCATTCGATGTTTAAGATGAAATTTTCATTTCTTATAAGTTCAAGTTTTGTACCTGGATATGGATTGCAATGGGCACAACACTGGCAAAGTAGCCTAACTGCTATGCTGACTTACTTAAATATAGACCTAAAGGTGTTATGTGTATTGCATATTGAAGCTGATAATAAAAGAGATTTATACACATTAGATGTATTTTACCAAAAGTGAAAGACAGAAAAAGTATGTCACCTTTACGCAGTTATTATGCATGTTCATGAAGTTACCAAGAACTTCAGAAAATATGTTTGAATGATTATCGACTCTAGTCTCCTGCTACTGATAATTGAGTAGTAGTTTAGTATTACAAAATATTTGTATAACAAATTTGCGTATTCTGTATCTCTCTTTCCTCAACACAAAGAGGAAATTTGGTTTATAATGTAGTTTGTGATAACTAAGAAATTCTGTTCCCTGAAAAAAGCTCACTATGTATGAATTAATTATTTCGGTCTCGAACCACTTTGGGATTTTAATAAAGTTTGGTTCATTTCATTTTCATTTTCTGCGTAGCCCTGGGCGTTTAAATATTTTAAAGTTTATCTGAATGCTTGCAGAACTACTTTTCCTACTATATTGTTGCATTATTTTCGCACTACACCAGCTTATTGTAGTTCTCGCACTAATCTGAACTACTGAACAAGTAGTATGCCTTGATTTTTATCCCTCTCCAACATTGATCAATAACGGTGATAATTATCTCAGAAATCGTAGTCCAATGTTTCTAATTGTCGTACTGGTTCTAGAAAAGTCAAAGGAACTAAATGAACTAGTGAACCATAATGCTTCAGTTATGGGAGTTTCGTTCATCCACTGCCTGGATGGTTTTTATTTATACTATTATTATTTGGTTTTGGCCTAGATATAAGTATCAAGTCTTGTAAACTTAAACCATTATTACCTTCGAAACTTCTGTTCTAAGATCATATCACTGGCACATGTAGATACCAGATTCAAGTAATATCGAAATGTGAACATTTTAGATGAAGAGGACTATAGGTTTAACGTGTTACCCTGTGTGTTCCTGTATATGTTATGCATAATAAAAAACATTAGAGGTGAGGGTTTTTTAGATTGAGTAATTCCATGGGTTATTCCCTTGATTTGATATGAATATCTCCCTGTCAATGGGCCGAAACTTGTAAAATTACCTGTAAACAATCAACTGTGCCCTTGGTACACCAGTTGATAATTAATGCATAAAAAATCATGGACTGTGGTTTCTTACTATTGATAATAGATTAGCAGGCTAATATTATAAGTTGTGATACTTATTTTCATATGTATATATGTTCTTTCATCATCATGAAAAGAGCTCAAAATATACATGATTTCATTCTCTCCCCTGCTCTCTCTACAAGTGCACTGAAAAGATTAAAGAGTAGGTTATGGGTTTATCTGGTGAAAATCAGCTGGTGTTTAGGGGTGCACCACCTAACGGGTATAGTTTAGCCAAGAATCTAACAACAGTAAACATCATAATATGGTTGCTGTGCAGGGTTGCTATCTGATATTGGTCAAGTGCATGTAAGAGTCTTGGTTTTCTTGGATGTGATTGAATATTTTTCTTCGGCTTGTCGAGCAGAATTGTTTGTTGTACGGATTTTTCCGTTCTGATGAGAATCGCCGAATAAATTTGGATTTTGATAGCTCTCCTGATGATAATATGTTGTTTTAGGATGCTTTTCACATTTTGCCTAAGTATTTTTTTAAAAAAGAAAAATCAAATGTATCAATTTTATAGCATATATGATGATGAGAACAAGCAAAGCAGTAGTGCTAGCATCAAAATGTTACATTATTTAAGTAAATAAAGTTAAATTACTACAAAAAGGTATTCTACTTAGTCAGTCATAAACCTATGTGCAATTAAATTAAAGTCTTCATATAGAACAAGAGAACAATTCTATTCTTTGATATTCTCTATTAGTTTTAAAAACGTTTCACTAGTTACAAAGAGGATTTGCTTCTTGGTTTCTCCAAGAAAAGTTTTTCTTTTTAATGCATTTCATTTGTTTGAGTTACAATTACTAGTTTGGTGTGCTAAAGTGCTGTTAATTTTATGAGAATTCTGAAAAATAGATTGAAGCAGGACGTAAGATAAATGAGTACTTTATTCTAACTGCTGGCTAAGTTCACATTTTGTTCTCAAGTAGATCTTTTTTTGTTGTTAAGGTGATGCTACTTCCTTGTTATAAGCGGATAAAAGTGTGTTTTGTTTGTTTTGTTGTTTTCTTTTGTTTCTTCTTATGGTATTCAAAGATAGGCATTTCTTCCATCCTTCCTCTGTTATGGTGATGGTAGATATCTTCTCTGGCTAATGGTGTATACCGGAAATAGATATGTAGGGTAAATGAGATGTTTGTTTTCTCATTATTTTGCTATACTTTTAGCTGAACGACTGTGTTACTTTTCAAGATAAGGTCATATTAGATTCTTTGTTTTGGTATTGAATGATTGACATTTTTTGATCCTTGCGCCTACTTCTCTAGTGGGTTATTCATCTAGAATATTGATTGCTGTCTCTTCATTATATATCTATCAGCCGAATCCTGGATTATCTTCAACACATCATCGAAGGGTGGCCTGTGCATTTAGGGATGCATCTCTGTTTCAAATATTTCATATATCAATAACCTCATTGAATCAACTCAAAAGTGATGGTATTGATTTATCATTTCTTCCGACTCCTTTCTTCTCTTGAGAGTAAAGGTTTTTTTTTTCTCCGCCATACTTACGGATTTTGATCATGACTGATCTCCTGTCACTTTCCTTGTGATATGCAGTCATCAGCCGCTTGCAAGAACTAGCACTTTCCCTCTCATTGAAATGTCTGTCTTTCGATTTTGTCGGGACATCGATTGACGAAAGTTCTGAAGAGTTTGGAACTGTCCAGGTGTGGTTATCAGTAATCAAATATCTTATATGTTATCTTGGGCCACTTCTTCTGGATTTTAGGTTGCGTCTCCAAGACTAGGACATCACATAATTGTTACCTGTGACAACACTTTGATAATATTTACAAGAGTTAGCTTTTTTCACTTCTAAGAATTTGTGCCCTATTGAGTATCAGGATGCAACTATGGAGAAACATGCTGACGTACACCATGAAACTTATTTAGCTTCTTCCTGTGCTGCAGATTCCTTTATCTTGGAAGCCAGTGTTAGAGGACTTCTCAACTGTTCAGATATTCTTTGATTACTATAACATCTCCAAGCCGCCAGTCTCGAAGGAGGTCTGTGAATTGCAAATTAGAATTCTGATATTTAAATGTTGTTCAATAAGCAGAACTTCAACTGAAACGTGTATAATGTTTCTTTAGCTAATTATAGGATTAAATATATTTAAAACCTTTAAAAATTTAAGGTCAGTTCAAGGGGGAACCCATGAGGACATTAGACATATGTTTCAAACTGTTTTGAACAAATAGCGATATACATTTGTGAGAGTAAAGTACTGCTGAATTGAAAGCAGAGTTCTATGGTGCTGTTATACGACAAACCGTGCTCTAAAATCAAGTTGGTAGGCCACTGAATGCGTAAACTAGAGAATGCATCCAAGTATTGTAATGAGAAAGATGGATGTGCAGGCTCACTAGATTAGATAGATTATGAAAGCAGGAGGAAGAAATTGATGGTGTCACCATTTGTTTAAAAAAATGGGAGTATCGGACCTAGGATGGTTGGGGTATGTAGGGAACCTGCCCTCATAAACTGAGTAGAGACCACATAAATTCTAATTACGGAGGAAGGAGAAGACCTTAGGAGAATAGGGAAAAGGTATTAAGGAAGCCCTAATTATTTAAATCTCAATGAGAAAATGTGTTTTGACAGTTCATGAAGGCAGGAAAATACATTGCCAACCTCACATATTGTCGTCTTTCCCTCAAGTTGTTTTGTTCAACGTGCCTTAGATTGAAATTTTCATTTAAATTAAGCTTTGTCGAAATTCGTATGCTTGAAGATCCTTTCGACTTTTGTTATGTTCCTCAGTTTTGGTTTATTTAGATTGTGGAAGGTCTTGCGTTTACAGTGAATTAGAGCATTTATATCTGAATGCTAGTGTACCACTTTACCGGACCCTCATTTGCCATTTATTTGAAAAGTCTTTTTCTCATACACCGTTACTGTTATCTTCTTGTGTTTACTACATGGAGTGGTGTCACTGCCTCAAAGTTTCAGTTTAGTGTCCATACTCGTACAAAGTATTGTGTCTAAAAACATGGATGTGCTTTGATTTGAAGAACTCTGTTTATTATGAACAATCTGCGCTATCCTTTCTGTAACTTATGGTCATTCCTCCCCCTTCAGTTCTCTGAATATTTTATCATGTACACATTGATTTTCTGCTCACACTTAATTGAATTTTGCATATTTTTTCTTCATGATTCAAGGCGCTCGAGTGTTTAGTTCGATTGGCTTCTGTTAGGCGGTCATTGTTCACAAATGATACAACCCGCTCCAAGTACTTATCACATCTAATGACAGGGACCAAGGAGATTCTACGGACCGGAGCAGGTTAAGAAGTTGCTCACTTTCTAATCATGCTTTATAAAATCTATTATTATCTGGAGAAATAATATCTTGATCTTCAAACAGCCAAATTAGTTTTCTAAATCCCCCTTTTGGTTAGAAACAAATAGGATGTCCAATTTTTAGTTTATTTATAATGATGTTACAACCAGCTCTGATTTTTGTGGTGGGGGGGGGAGGGGATCATGCTTGTGCCCATCATACATGTTTCATTTAGCTGCTTAACCATAGGAGAGAGTTTTTTGTGGACACTTATTCTCTTTCTTTCTTTTGGGAATGGGCGGGAGATTTTTCTCACATACTGTTCAATTTTGACTATTTCTGGCGCTTGGTTAGTTGCTGTCTAGAACGCATTCATCCATCCAGCTGCCAAATTGGTTTCTATTAAACTATGCATTCTTTCGGACGGGTTGCCCGAGTCTTTCTGTTTCAGCAGTGCCTGCCTTTTATATTTGTTATTTTTGCACTAATGTCTTGTAGTGCTGGAACTCAGGTCTGGCCGATCATGATAACTACCATGAGTTTTGTCGCCTGCTTGGACGGTTTAGAATTAATTACCAGGTACTTTTTCCCATATTCTATCGAGAGGATTATGAATCACACTTCGTCACGCAGTTAACAGATCTTTCAATAGCAAAATGGGTTGAGTGCGAGATTGTTTTACAATAAGCTCCACTCAAGCTGCTTATTACTCATTATTTAAACAACTTATTTATAAATGGATACTAAACAAATGAGACTAGCAATAACATGAATCAAAATGAACAAAGGGCTACAAAGGATTGGCAAACTCAACCGAGGTAATCACTGGAAAAAAATAATTTTTTTATTGAATTCTAAGCCTCTATTTCTTCTTCCCTCACTTTAGTATTTTAAACATGTAAGTAGTGTTAAATTATTCACAGGATCTAATACTTACTCGGATCGCTAATTTTAATGGTTTACTGACTAAATATAGTAGCATACACAGTAAATTACATCCCCTTCCCACCCACTTTCTTTTGCTTATTTCCTTAAGTCCCCTATGTCTGCAGTCTTCTAATTAGGATAAAATATATTTGCTCAGTTTGTTTACCATATTCTTCAAATTTTCTAAATCATCATTCCTTCCCTAATTTTTTGACTCTTTATATGGCAAATTATTTCAAGCACTCTTTCCCGGTTAAAAACCATTTCTTGTAGATCAGATTTCTCTTTATTGTCAACTTGTTGTATATTTAGTTGTTGCTGAGAATTCTGTCTTAGCAGTTGGCACCATTAGAGATGTTAGATCTCTTCTAGTTCCAGTAAATGCGCCTTTAATGTTTTCTTATCACGGGAAGCTTAGTGATGTACTTGTTCCATTGAGCATTGCCATACGCCAAAAGTATATGTCGACCATGTATGCTTTGGGATATTGAATGATGACCCCGCAAGCATTTCCCTAAATTGCACCTACTACTACATAAATTTACTGACATTCTGTACTGTCATGTCTATTTCCATGCAGCATCGCATCCTTAACTTCTTCCTTTATTTGATGTACAATTCTTGCATGATATTCTGTTGCTCTTGACTGGGAGGGAATAATGGATCCTGATATGTGGCGGAGGCTAATTTTAGGTTTCCTATGTCTCAACTGTTGGCTCTTGTAACAAAACTCTTCCTGCTATTAGCGTACTTTCTGCCCCTATGCAAGTCCAAAAGATAATCATTCCTTCAGCTTAAGGTCTCATCATCTCATGGTTTCCGAACCTTCATTTCGTACCAAGAATACGCTGCATTATTTTTTGAAGAACATGTAACTTTTATAAATTAAGCATTCCCAGAAGCATTAATGGAAATTGTAAATCCTATGGCAGCGTGCGAGATGCTAATGACTTATTTCTTTGAAAAACAATTCCGGCATCTTTAATCTTGATTAAAAGCATAAGATATGCTCTAGTTGATCCTAGTTATTTCAAGGTAAGACAAATTTTTGAAATGTCCATAAAAAATTTCAAATGGCTTGCGAGACAAAGTTCCAATCTAAACAACATAAGCATTTCAGAGTAAGTTGTTTATTCTAAGAAACTGTGGAGGTTATTAATGTTAAGAATATGGAAAGGAAACAAATTTGAAGGCAACGGATTGCAACATTTTGAAGTTTTGCTAGGCTGATGTGATGTATTTCTATGCTTTCTGAAATGCTACTTGATCAAAATGTACTTCTTTTTAGTCCCTAACTTAACTCGTCGAAAGGTTGTTTTGAAGTTAAGACATTTGTACCTGTGCTGATTTGTCTAAAGGACATCACCGAACAATTTTTCTGTACTTTCTTAATCGAGTTTCCTGTGTCGTAAGCGAGTGGGTGGCTTCTTGCAGTTGTCAGAACTCGTCAACATGGAAGGTTACAGTGAATGGATTCGTTTGGTGGCAGAGTTTACTTCAAGGTCTTTGCTGTCTTGGCAGGTAAGCAGATTATTATATTCCATCCTTTGACAGCTTTTTCATTTTTTTTAAAATTATTTTTTACCTCAAAATTTAACTGGTATTGTAAAGGAACGTCTGATTGGTCCTGTGGTTCGCAAATACTCCAAAATGTCTTTTGGAATATCTGTTTTTGTATATTTTAACTTCTTTAGGATGTTAGAAGGCCAACTTCTTCAGGATCTGTCTTTCTACTTGTATGTTTTTCGGTCCCTTACTTTTATGTTCTTGGTGCTTAATGTCATCTTTCTTTTTGTCATAAGCTTTTGAGTCCTCCTCAGTTATGTTTGATTCCTTGCAGTGGGCCAGCAGCAGTGTTTTTTACCTTTTGGGGCTGTGGTCTAGGTTGGTGAGTTCAGTGCCATATCTGAAGGGTGATGCTCCTAGCTTGCTTGATGAATTCGTCCCAAAGATTACAGAAGGTTTTATTACCTCAAGATTGGATGCAACTCAGGTATGCTTACCAGTTGTTCTCTTCCCGTTTTTGGTTTGGTTTTCTTTTTTTTTTGTTTTATATTAAATCTTCTTAGATTTTTTATTCTTGGCTTGCCCCCTGCCAGGTTTGAACTCATCCTCTATGGTTATGATCCCCCACCCTTACATTTCACCGAACCTGACCTGACCATTCCCCTGAAACTTACCTGTTTTTTCTCCATGAGGAATATTAATGGAAGTTAAGTGAAATGACTTATTTGAACCATTCTAGGTGGGGGTACCGGATGATCTTTCAGAACACCCTTTGGACAATGTTGAGCTGCTTCAGGATCAACTTGATTGCTTTCCATATCTTTGTAGATTTCAGGTAGAACATCCATTCTTCTCATTGGTATCTGTACCTATTTGCTTTCCTCTAAAGCCTTTGTTAGATGGGGCTTTTGATTTGTTTCACGTGTTCTGATACAGTATGAAAGCAGTAGCTTGTTTCTTATCAATATCATGGAGCCAATTTTACAAACATACACGGTAGTCTGATCTGAATTCATAGTGACTTCATTCCCTCTTATTCTGTTAACCACAGGTTACCTAATTTCAACTGTATCTGTTTGGTGAATCGTTTGTGTGTGATAGGAAAGAGCACAATTCCAGGTTGCAGATAGTGGGGAGTTGTCTATAATTGAAGCCAAACTTTCTTGGATTGTGCATATAATTGCTGCTCTCCTGAGAGTGAAACAGGGTTCTAGTTACAGGTGAAGAAAGATGACTTTGCAAATTTTCTTGAATGTAAATTCTTAGCTGTTTTACACTTCTCCGTATATGATGAAATTGATCATCTCATTTTCATGCAGTTCTGATTCGCAAGAAGTCATTGATGCAGAACTTGCAGCTCGTGTTCTGCGTCTGGTTAATGTCACTGATACTGGGTTGCACAGTAAGGTAGGTTTTGTGAACACGTCTTTTCTTTGGTGATAGCAAGATTACTTACTTTCCCACTTCCAATCCATCCGAAGTAAGAAGCTTGTTTTATCTGCTTAACTCTTAAAAGCCATTATAAGTTGACCTGTCAAAAATGTGAGATTCTGACTTGCAATGTGTGTTTGGGGGAAAAAGGGGGGATGGGGGTGGGGTGTTGGCGGAGCATGGAGATCTTCTTTGTATAATACTAGCTTGCAACAGGGAGTTTGGTGTGTTTCATTAATCTTCCGTGTTTAACTGAATCTACCAGTTGTTGGCCCATTGAACTATGACGAACTGTACCATACGCTATGAGATGGTTGATTAATCAATGTTACAAGGATGCTATAACCTGTGATTTTCTGCAACTTTATAGAATGCTTTTTAGCCGCTCTTGGAGACTTCTCTAGTTTGTTTTGTCTTGTGTTGTATTGCATGTTCCCAGTGCAATTAATATAACCCATCTGATTATCTAGTTGTAGTGTCTTCGACATCTAGTGTAGTATGGCAATCTTGCCAGACAGAAAAAAAAAAAAGAAATCATAAGTCTAGAAAGAATGCATCATGGACCTCTCAGTTGTCATCCTTTCTGGCTCGTAAAAATTCTATCTTCATTCATTTAGTGTCTTTTATCTTTGATCCAATTTTTTATGAATTCTCTAAAAAGGACTTCTGATTATTGTATTTCCTTGCAGAGATATGGTGAATTCAGCAAACAGAGACTTGATCGAGCAATCCTAACATTTTTCCAATATTTTAGAAAGTCTTATGTTGGTGATCAAGCTATGCATTCATCAAAGGTATATAAAGTTATTCTCTTTGGCTACATTTAATAGCTTAGTGCATGGTTGAGGTTGTAACTTTTCTTTGCAGCAGCTATATGCCCGACTCTCTGAACTTCTTGGACTCCATGATCACCTTTTGTTGTTGGATTTCTTTGTTCGTAAAATTGCAACAAACCTCAAATTCTATACAGAGGTAACAATTTTGTTGTTGTGTCTTCTTTTTCTTGTGTTCAACTTCAAATTAATCCGATTTCTCCGATTTCTTTTTGTATATAGAGTGAAGAAGTTGTTGATCACACCTTAAGTCTGTTTTTGGAGCTTGCAACTGGGTGAGTATGATTACCACTTACTTTTGGGAACCGATTACCCTCATTCCTCTTTCAAAATTTGACAATATTCCTCTTGATGCAATTATCTTCCTGCAGCTATATGACTGGGAAGCTGCTTCTTAAATTGGAGACTGTGAAATTCATTATTGCAAATCATACGGTAATGTGCATTACATATGCAAACGTTGCATTTTAATCTATGCGTGTGGATCCAACTGTACATGTTTTGATTTGCACCTTGTTGTACATTTATTATGCTTCACTTTTTTTTTCTTTTTTTTTTCTCCTACCTACAGAAGGAGCATTTTCCGTTTCTGGAAGAGTACAGAGCCTCTCGTAGTAGAACAACATTCTATTATACAATCAGCTCATTGATATTTTTGGAGGATAGTCCTTTGCTATTCAAGTCTTCTATGGATTCACTAGTCCAAGTAAGTGTCCTGTTTTCTTTTTGGTTTGTACGATCTCTCCTGGTCATCCGTAGAGCTTACCGCACAGTATCAGTCACATATGAAGCATGCTTCAGTACCTTCCCTAAATGTACATTTATCTATATTTTATTTTTCTTCAACCTTTTAGTGTATGCTCTTTACATTTTCTGCTTGTATTGGGGAATCTTGCAGGTGTTTATCACTCTAGGTGCCACTCCAGATGCAATGTTTCGGACTGATAATGTAAAATATTTATTAATTGGGTTGATGAGAGATCTAAGGGGTGTTGCAATGGCCACAAGTAGGTCAGTCATTTTACTTCACAAACTCCAAATTCTAAAATCATTAGTACCTCTTTTCAAATTAGTTGTTGGTTTTTCAGTCGCAGGACTTACGGTCTCCTGTTCGATTGGATATATCCCGCTCACATGCCAGTTCTTTTGAAAGGCATTTCACATTGGTTTGATACCCCAGAGGTACTAACTTATTGATTTGGTCTCATCTGTTTCCGTTAATTTTTTGCCTGGCTCAATGTTGTAGATCCACATTTCAAGTGGATATTTATCAGATAAGTTTAACAAATTGTTTGACTAGAGGGGCCTCGTTGGGTGTGTAGCTTTTGCTATTTTCTCCTGATTTTCTGGTTGACCTTTAGATGTTTTTCCATTACTGCTTGTATATGGATGCTGCTTCTGCTATAGAGAGAAGCCATTGTAATGAATAGATGCAGACATAGTTATGATGAGCGGTTAATGTTGTTCTGCAGGTTACAACTCCGATGCTAAAATTCATGGCTGAGTTCGTACTAAACAAGGCACAGCGCTTGACCTTTGATTCTTCCTCTCCGAATGGCATACTTCTGTTTAGAGAAGTTAGCAAGCTACTTGTTGCGTATGGCTCAAGGGTTTTGGCTCTTCCAAATCCTACTGATATCTATGCCTTCAAATACAAAGGAATGTGGATTTCTCTGACTGTCCTTTCAAGAGGTATGGCATTTTTCTTGTTTATGTTCAGAATGTAGGGCCAGGGTTTTGTAGTTTTTGTTTGTCATTTCTTTGGGACACCAGGATGCTTGTCGGGATCCTGCTGTTGCAGTGTTCAACTTCTTATCATTTAGTTTTAAAAAAATGAATGAGATCTAATGTGATGGCTGGTTAGTGGGAAGATCTTTATGTTCTGAAACAGATTGGCTATCGCTTCCATCTCAATAAGTAGCACGGTCTATAGATTTATTACTTGTTTTGTTTGTATTAGCTAAGGGATGGTGTGAGGGCCAGCTCCTATGTAGATCATAGTTTCAATATATTCTGAAAGTTTAATATACTTTTTGGCATGCCATCAATGTTCAAGCTCCTACACAAACACATAGAACATATGAAAAGCAGCTCCTAACTTTCAAATTCAGTCTGAGACATAAAAAGAGGAATTTTGGGTACTGGATTGATTAACTTCTGAACGGACATTCTGTTTGAGAATTTAGAATGTGAATTTTAGTATCTCATACCTTGTTAAAATAAATTTGTGGATCTTTTGATGGCTTTTTTAATTTTTTTTTTTTTTTTCCATTGTGTAAACTACAAAATGGTACTTCTCATGTAGCAAAATGTTTTTGGGTCCCTTTCAAATAAAAAGGTCTTTGTGGTGGTCAACATTCACATTTCTACCTTTTGGCCTCTGACTTTCATTGTCTTACAACAACCACAAATTTGAGTGACTCTCAACTAACATGACGAAGATAATTAGGGGCAGCATTTTCAGACCACAAAATATAACTTAGGGTTTCCTCAAACAACCAATCCCCCTTTTTGGTCTTAATGTGGTGAATGCTTGACGGTTTGTGAAGCTCTTATAAAAAACCATTTGCACTGAATGATATTTCTCCAGTATTCTTCTGTTGAAAATATTTTTAAGATATGGATATTCAGATTACGACTCTTGAATGGAATTAGAATTTCCTGCTGAGGAGTTGTGAAAGAAATTGAAGTTTCTTGCCACTAATTAAAGTAAATTTTAGGAAGTAGGTTATTTAATGGGAGAAGATTCGTGAGATGGTGATCAGCTTTAATTGGAATGTTTATGATAGAAGAGAGGAACAGGACATGAGTTGAGTCCTCTTGGGGTTTTCATGGGGGTGGGCGAGGGTGAGGCAGGAGGGAGGAGGGGAGGGAAAGCAATTCTTTTTATTCTTTTTTTTTTTTTCCAGGTTTAGTTAATTGTATGTCGATTTTATCTTTTCATCACGTGTCTTGCACGTGACTCAATTTGTAAAAGCACGTTTTGTAAGTTGGTTAGGGACCCAAAATAGTTTATTATTTACATGGGAGGACTGTCAAAACGGCTTTATTTGTTACTGACTAAAACATCACTTCGCTTTAACAGACCATCTTTGGGAAAGTTGTACTTTCCAAAAAGGTGTCATTTATTGTTCCTCCTTCTCATAGTTGCTTATTGTGTTATGCTTGTTATGAATTCAATGGAGATTTGGGAGTGCACTAGAATGACTTTATTTATCTGATCCTAACCTAGTTCTGTTGTTTCCTTGTATGGCAACAGCTCTTGCTGGAAACTATGTGAACTTTGGCGTTTTTGAACTTTACGGAGACAGAGCACTTGCTGATGCTCTTGATATTGCCCTCAAGATGACTCTTTCTATTCCTTTGGCTGATATTCTGGCTTATCGGAAGGTATGTAATCAGAAAGATCAATTTTGGTTTGTTCATTCATGAATGTATTGGAAAGATCAGATTTATACAAGTATGAATTTCTTGGAGTTGGAGGTGTCCTTAGTTCTTAGATTTGATTTCATATTGTCGGAGGCAACTGGAGTTGGTAAATGTTAAATAGTTCACATTTCAATGATATTTGATGATTTTATTAGAGTTGGCCTCCAAAACCATAATATGGCGTTTTTATTCTGTTTAGTGTGATTGTTAATTGGATCCATACGGATGTGTGTATCCTTTTAGGCTGGACAAGAAATGAAGTTACTTGTGTATATCATATGTTGCCTTCCTGTCCAACACTTGCTCCATTTGAGTTTGGCTATTTCATGTGCTTGTTAATAGTTTCTTTCCAATTTTCTTTGTAGGAATTCTTTTCATCTTAAATATTATGTTTTCTCCTTGAGTTACTAGGTATCTAAAGGTCTATGCACATGTCTAACCCATCTTAAAGCACGATTTTCTCATTTATGTCAGCCATTAGAGCTGCTCCTACTTTCTACTCGATGCCATTCATTATTATTAATCTTGTCTAATCTAGCGGGCGGACATCCATATCAACATTTTCATTTTTGCTACTTCTATCATTTGTTCGTTCTAATATCTAGAAGCCCTACACATTGATCCACAAAGCATAGTTGGTCATATGACAATTTATAGAACTCAACTTTCGTTTTCCATGGTGCTTTGTGGTCTCTATTAAGGACCCGCTTTCTCATCCCATCTTGATTGCATTTTATGTGTACCTTCATTATCAATTTCCTGATTTTTTTCAATGATAGATCCCAAATACTGAAATCCTTTAGATTCATTTATTCTCTGTTGCCAATATTGATATTCGTGCTGTTGTATAATCGCACATATTTTTAACATTTTGTATTAAAAACATTCAAGACTCTTTACACTTCTCTTTAACACCCCTCTTCAACCTTTTCACTAGGGATTTTCCCCTTTTTTTTTCTCTTCTTAAGCTATATCATCTGTTGAAATTACACATTCATACATACATTATTTTTAAAGCAAGAAATCTAGGAACTAAAAGTTGATCCTAATGGTTGACTGTTGGTGGTCGGGAATTCACCTGATATTCCTCCTAACACCTTTACAGTTGTTGTTAGTTACCACTTTATCAGTGTATTCGATTATCTTTATCACACGCTTCTTAAGGTCAAGAAAGATCATATTTTATTTTTTTTTCTTCTTGTGAAGGTGTCCACGTAGTTTTCCTGTATGGCTTATGTTTTACATCTTCGCAGAATGAGTCCTAATGCATTACTGTATCCTATGGTTTCATTAAATGGCTCATCAATTCAATTCCTCTCAGTTACACTAATGTAAGTTGAAATGTCTCTGCAACATCAAAATCCTGAACCTAATTAGTAGTGCAGTTATTTCATCTGCTGCTCTGTAAAACATTTCAGTGTTTCTTATAGTTGTTTTAAGGGTTTAGTGCTACGGTTGTGTTTTACAGTTTCCATGTAAAACCTTATTCAATTTTGCTCAAATTAGGTTTTCGGACTAAATTTATTCCTTGACTTCAGTTCCACTCAGTATAAAGCCCTCAGACAGTTAAGATATTTTGGTAGACGTTAACAAATTGGATGAGGTAGACAAGATGAGGAAAATTTCTGAAAAAATAGATTGACTTACATGGTATAGTTGCTTGAGATTTTGAAAGCTTTATGCTGCATCTATTCTTAATTTTAATTCTTTTTAGATACTATGTAGTCAGTGTGGGAGTTCAATAAAAGCCGATCAGCTTTTAGGATACACTCTTATTTCAGTTGCTTTTATTTGCTGAGTGCACTGGTTGCATGAATTCTGTAGGTTTATAGCATACAGTTACTCCAGCTTCTGTTTATACACATTAGTTGGGTTTATTTGTATTATTATTATTTGCGGGCGTCTCTAATTTTTATTTGTTTTTTTTTTTGTTCCTTTGCAGCTGACGAAAGCATACTTCGGATTTTTGGAGGTTCTGTTCAGTAGCCACCTTGTTTTTGTGTTGAGTCTTGATACAAGCACGTTCATGCATATAGTTGGATCACTTCAATCTGGTCTGAAAGGTCTTGATGCTGGTATTTCTTCGCAGGTATCGTAAACTGATGATTAAGTGTGATATACTGAACCTTTATCATTAATTTTTTTATGCAAATGCTTCAGCTAGGGAAAGTTCAACCTGAAGTTCTGTTGAGCATTACCATATAGCAAATTAACAGTGCATGTGACCGTTTTTTTTTTTTTTTGGTGAAAGATAACTTGTGGTCTCTGAGAATTTTTATAGCAACAGGAACACCTTATAACGGTTATTCCATATTCCTGATTGTAATGGGTACTGTACCCATGTTTCAGTCGCAAATTTTAGATATTCTAAGGCAATTTGAGGTGAAATATTTTTCTGATTGTCCAATGTGCCCTTGTGAATAATTTCCCATGTGCACCAACTGCAGTTACAATTTATCGTCATTCACTAGTCATTGTGCGTCCACAACCTGTAGTTTTATTATCTTTGAGAACCTTTGTAAGTGGTACTAACATAGTTAACTGTCAATTAAGTTGCGTAACTTTGGCATCATTGATGTTGAAAACAGTAATGCCTACTTTGAGATTCCTGGTGATGTGTGTTTTAGTGGGTCGTCGGACCTGATCAGTAGTCTGTCACAATTTCAGACATGCTATGAGATGTTTGGTTATTGTATTTGCCTGTCATAGGAATCCTCTGAATATTACTATGTTAATTATTGCACCAGCAGCAGTAACATTTTGTAATCTTTCTTTAATGTCAGTGTGCATCTGCTATTGACAATGTAGCTTCTTTCTATTTCAACAACATCACCATGGGTGAGGCCCCCAATTCACAAGCTGCAATTAATCTGGCTAGGCATGCTTCAGAATGTCCAAATATGCTCCCTGAGGTGAGTCCCATATGATTCTGATGACCTGAAGTATTAATGTGATTATGTATTGCGTAATGTAATCTTTGTTTTGTTGTCTGTCTATTGCTTAGCCAGTTGAAGTGACTATAATTTGGTCTCATCCTTTGCCAGAAATGCTTTCCTTAGTCCAATGTTGATGAGTTTTGTTTAGTCTACTTGCAACCTATGAAAAAAGAAAACCCACTGAAAATTGATGGGTTAAAAGTGCAATGGACAAAGTATCTAATTAGTTAGTCTATGAGTGTTTGGCAAAGCTGTTTTGGGAGTTTCTACCACCCTTCTAAAACATTGACCTGGGTTGAACTTGACCACTGATAAGGAAAACTTAATCTAAACTGATGCAAAGAATGAACTCAATATGATGCCAACAAGAATCTAATTTGATGTAAAAAAAAAACCTGTGAGAGCTCAATGAAACTATACAGTAGAAGACTGCTAATATTGCTTCCTTTTCCTTCAGCTACTGAAGACCCTGTTTGAGATAGTGTTATTTGAGGATATTACTAATCAGTGGAGCCTTAGCAGACCAATGATAAGCTTGATACTCGTCAATGAACAGGTAACAACTTTTTATCTGGTTTTCTCTTACATTTTACCTAATTTGTAGCTGTGTATGTGTCTACTTTCTGATGGCAATTCTTTTCTGAAGTTCTTGGCGTTTAGGAACTGGTTTTTTTCTTTAAATTTGTATATAGTCATGAGTTGTAACCTTCTCCTATTTTGGTTTCTTTTGTGCAGATATTTACAGATTTGAAAGCTCATATTTTATCTTCACAGGCAAGTTGTAGCATCACTATGACTACTTTTAATTGCTTATTGTTTGTTATTTTGGTGGAACTGAGGAGTGGGGATGGTGGGAGTATGAACTTTCCATTTGAAATTGTTATCCTTTTTAACTGTACGAGGATCAATAGTCTTCTCATCGCCAATTTGTGTAATTTTGTTTCTCTAGCTTGACCGTTAAGATGAAATACGTCTCTAGAAAATCACCTGCATGTAGCTTTTGTACTTTATTTGATTCTGGTGAAAAGCATGATATGCTTCGAATGCTGGTATTCGGTGCCCACTTTTGAAGACCCTTCAACTTTTATGATAAAGGCTAACTAACTAGCATGACAGTCTTAGTTTATACTACATGATTCCCATACTTATAGCATACTAATGAATTTTGCATGCATGTCACAATTTCTATTTGCTGTGCTTCTCCATCTGAAAACTGCTAATCTTCTGGGTTTGGGTTGCAGCCCGCAGAACAGCATCAGCGCCTTTCTCAGTGTTTTGACAAATTAATGACTGATGTTAACCGGAGCTTGGACTCGAAGAACAGGGATAAGTTCACCCAGAATTTGACCGTGTTCAGAAATGACTTCCGTGTCAAATAGCTGCATGCTTCTCTATTGTCACGACAACTTGCTGTCCAAGGATATCTTTTGAGAAACTCATTCCTAAGTACAAATTTGCTTTTTTCATGAAAACTGTTGATCCTTGGAGAACGCCATTATGTGCGAAATGTGTCGGTTGCATTTGGTCTTAGGAGAAGCCTGACGTTTTCCTCGAGGCATTGACCTGCAGCGTCCTTGATGAAACTATCCTGAGTGATGTATATAATTTCCGGAATCAGGACACTGTTGCTGCTGCTCCGGTGGCTAGCAGAACTAAATAGTGAATGTAATCGTACACACACACACATAAGTTTGGGCAGTTTCGGTGTAGTATGTACATTGTTTTTTTAAAAATCAGTGTCTTTTACTCACTCGTTAAGCATCAGAAAGTAGTGGCACTGGCATGTATCCTGTAAATTACAAGGGGGTTTGTTTCTATATATAAATTTAGGTGTTTTTCTTTACATTTTGATCACAGTTTAACCATAGTACCGGGAGGATTCTCTCGAGACATGTAAACTGTCATATATTTGCTCGACTGTTCAGTACTTGATGGTGCAGATTTTCAAGCTCAACTGAGTGAATTTGAAGCTTCCTCAATAAAAAAAAAACAAAAAAAAAAAAACTGCGTGAATTTGAAGCCGATAGTTTATCTTTTACAACAATAAATTGTACACCACAATCTTTCAATTGTACTTGGTGGTAACGTATTACCCGTGAGATGGGGCGTAAATCCGCCCGTAAGACAATATTTAGCAACGAATCTTTGCGTCTGGGTAGTGACTAGGGATACAGTTTATATATATTAAAAATTTCCATTAATCCAAATGATGTGGAAAGCGAAGGGAAGGGAAGACAGAAACACGAGAAAGAACTATAAACAGGAGGAGGTCATGCCGGAACAAGAGGAGGCTAAGGATCCTCAAGGAAGCAATGGAGAGAATAGTGTACAAAGTAGGAATGTGGTATTGGAGCATAGAAACGGAAATGCACAGGATACATGTACTAAGTTAGTAGAGAGTTTAGTAACCCGGAAAGGGGACTAGTTCCATGGATAGTATGATGTTTTGGAATGTGAGAGGGCTTAACAGCCCCTCTGAAACACAAAGAGGAGCAACATATCCTCTCTGTGAATAAAATTGGGTTCGTGGGTTAGTCGAAACAAAGTTAACGGAAGAAAGATTAAAGGAGACAATGAAGAAGACATGGAGTCAATATGATTATTTGAGTAACCATTGACCAAGTGAAAAGGGAGGAATTTTGGTAATGTGGAACAAGCATGAATATCAGGTGACAATATTGATTAGTGATGATCGATTTGTTCATTGTGAGGTTCAGCATACCATAAAGAAGGAGAAGTTCACAGTCACAATAGTATACGGTGATCCACAAGCAGCAGGGAGAACAAGACTATGGCACAGTCTAATGAATATGTCCACAGGTATTCAACAGGCTTAGCTTATAGCAAGGGATTTCAACAGAATTTTGTCAGCAGAAGAAAAAATTGGTGGTACTCATATGGTCAGCCAAGATACAGCAATGTTTCAGATGGTGAAGGAGCAATGTCAACTAGAGGAAATGAAAACACAAGGCAGCATGTTTACATGGACCAACAAACGTTTGGGAGATGAAAGAATTTATTCCATATTGAACAGATGTTTGATAAATGAGGCATGGATGATCAACTATGAAGTAAGTTGTGTTAATGTTCTACAAGGAGGCCTTTCTTGATCATAGCCCTATACCGGTGGAAATGACTAAGAAAGATAGACAGAAGAAGGCTTTTAAATATTTTAATATGTGAAGTGTATCGCCTCAGTTCAAAGAAATTGTGGAGGAAACATGGAGTAAGGACACAGAGGGAACCCAACAGTATAAAATGATTAAAAAGCAGCAGGAATTGAAAGGTCAACTGAAGAGACTCAACAGGGAACAATACTCTAAGATAGAACATCAGGCACAAAGAGCAAAGTAAGAACTGCAAAGCATACAAAAGCAACTGGATTGTAATCCAAGTGATGAGAGGCTGCAAAAGGTGGAAAGAGAAGCAGTGTTGAAAGTAGTCCAGACAAGCAAGGCAGAGCTGAGTTTTTTTGCAACAAAAATCTAAGGAGAAGTGGGTGAAGGAAGGTGATACTAACGCGGCCTATTTCCATGCTACTTCAGAGCCAAAAGAACAAAAAATAGAATTTTGTCCTTCACAAGAGAAGATGGAAGCATAGAAACAGAATGGGCAGATGTGGAAAGACACTTCAGCGGCTTTGAGAAAATGCTTGGGAAAGAAGTGGAGAGAATTCCAGTACAAAAAGAGATTTTTGAGGCCAGTGGAAGACTAACAGTTCAACAAGTCAACTTGATCAGGGACTTCACAAGGGAGGAGGTCAAAGAGGCTCTGTTTAGTATTTCAAGCACTAAAAGCCCCGGTCCCGATGGCTTTGGTAGCGGGTTTTACAAGCAAGCCTGGGATATGATAGGTAACGACTTTACTGATGATGTACTTGAATTTTTTCGTACTAGAAAAATGCTAAGGCAAATTAATACTACTATTATTTCCCTAATTCCTAAGAATGTTGTACTTCAAAACGTTACGGAGTATAGGCCGATATCATGTTGTAACACCCTTATAAATGTATCTCTAAAATGCCTTGTACTAGGGTTAGTAAAGTCCTCCCTAGTTTACTTGATTGGAATCAGGGAGCTTTTATTTAGGGTAGGAAAATAGTTCACAACATCCTCCTGATATGATGAAGGTTGACATTAGAAAGGTATATAATACAGTGAGTTGGTAATTCTTAGAAGAAATGCTAACAGGTTTCGGATTCAAATTGTGTGCACCAAAACACAGTTTCATAGCATGGTTAGCATGTCAAGACAGGTTGCTAAGAATGCAGAGATTAGAGAACATGGAATACTAGCTGGGAGTAAAAGGTGTGTGTTGTGTGATACAGGAGCTGATGAAACACTCCAACACTTGTTGTTTGATTGTGAGTATGCCAGGAAGATGATGGATGATCTATTGAAGTGGCTAGAGTATAGGGAAAGAAGGATATTAAACTGAATCAAATGCACAAGAGTATAAGAAATGGAAGTAGATTCTGTAATGTGAAAAAGAAGCTGATATGTGGTGCAGTCGTGGCTTGTGTATATCACACTTGGATTGAACGAAATGATGGAAGGAGTAAGAGACATCAAGAAGGAACTGGAATGGAAAATGCATGGCGATAGGAGCAAAAGGAAACAAGCTGATTTGGCTCTTTTTTTTTTTTTTACTAGAATAGGATTTTAGAATGTACAGAGATAGGCTGGAAATTTGTAATGTAAAGTGAGCTGATGTATGTATATCAGGGCTGTTCTTTTGAAGAAAACCGACCCAAACCGACCGTTATTTTGGTTCGGTTCAGAAACGGGTCAATTTCTTTTAGATCACAAATGGTTTCGGCTCAGGTTAAGTTTCGGGTCTAAACCAAATTGACCCGAAATGAACCATTTTGCTAGTGATGACATCATCAAAAGTGACGATGTCGCCGACGGCGACGATGGTCAAAGGTGGTCGATGGTGGTCAACGACGACATTATTAAAATATAATTATTTATTTTTTGGTTTTGAATTTTTTAGGTTCAATTTGGATATTCTTTTGACCTGAATCAATTCGAACCGTTCCAACTTTTAAAATCTTCAATCCGAACCGATCTGAACCGAAATTAGAATTTCGGTTCGGTTTCGATTCAGTTCGGTTCGGATCGTCGGGTTAACTCGAACCGCGGTTCAAAAAGACCAGCCCTATGTATATGGACTTGGTTGGCAATATAATATTTATCATTTACCAAAAAAAAAAAAAATCGATTAAATCATTGAGTAAAAACTAAAAAGGTCGTAGTAGGGGATTTGAACCCTTGTATGCGACTTATCTCAAGTTTTTAAATTAATACATCACATTGAAAGAGTCTCAAAATTCAACATATCCATTCTATGACTTACAAAATTACGAAAGGGACAGTATATATCCTCCGTATTTACTTTTTTCCCTCCTATTTCCTATCTATTTTAATTTTTGAAAAAACTATTTTTAAAAAAACGAAGATTTCTCAATTTTTAAAAAAAAAAATTTCAAAAACTTAATTAATTAAGATTTTGAATCCAACTTTTTCTCTAAGTTTAATCAATGTTAATTTGTCACGATTGTGGTAATTCAACAATTTTCTTTCTATTTTATTTTGAGTGAGAAAAAATAGAATTATCAAAATATCACATATCCACAACATATATATATATATATATTTGGAATTAGTAACCAATTAATTTGAGTTCAATCTACGTTTTCCAAACTTGTAATAAATTCAGATATTTTAATAATTAATTAACCTTTTCAAAACTTTTATTTACATTCAAGAATGTTGCTTTATTTTAATTTAATAAATAAGTGGGGAAGAATAAAATATGAGAAAATACTGCTCCGTCTATTTTTTAATGCATGTCGTTTTAGAGTTTTCAAAATTTTCCAAAATATATGTTGTTTTACAAAATTGAGGCAACTTTTATCTTATTTTTTCAATATTAATCTTACATTGGAAATGGAATGGTATTTAAAAGAAAATGTATTTGATAGGGATGAGTTGTATGGATAGTAAATAAGGATACTTTTGCATTTTAAATATATAATTTAATATTTTAGTGGTATTGATGAAATTGTTAGAAAGACATATATTTTAGAATGGAATGAGTAATATGGAACAAAAGGATTTACGGTTGTAAATATTGTAAATATAACAACTTTGTTATTTTACATGTCATGGATAGATTTATCTATTTTCGATAATCTTTTGGCATAATTAGCTAATTTAAAAAGATTGTGATGAACTCGCATGTATGGTATAAAAGTTGTTTAGTTACTGACAAAAGTTGTTCAGTTACCGATATTCCCGATTAGATAAAGTCATTTGTCAAAAATTCATGACACTAATCAAATTGTACCGACTCATCTTTATATATAATGAAGGAAAGTAATTTGTTTATAATAATCATTATTAAATCGGTAGCTAGATTTTGAATTTTAATTTGATTAGTTGATAATGCTCTCTTTCTCTCTATTTAAAGCCTCACACTACAAGCCTTTCAAAAAAAAAATTCTTCCCCCCATCTTCCCTCATGGGTCGATGTGGGAATTGATTTCACTTTTCATAGCTTATAGTTATTTTTATAGTTTAATAAGTGGGATTTGTCCCCAAAATATTGTTTCTTCAATAGATTAATTGTAATCTATTGAGAGGGTAGGATTCTTTTGGTAGTATTTGTAGTGTCTTTCGTATTGTTGTTGCGATGTCCGTAGTTTCATTCATTGCTTTACAGAGTGCGATTCGAGAAAATTCAGTCATCATAGATTTATTTGATAGAGCTATGATCTGGGGCTTTCATCATATTATTAGAGATATGTTCTTGATCAGATTGATTATCTGGCACATGATATATCCATCGTTATATTGGATAGATCAAGATAGGTTTATTCACGAGAAACACAACAATAGTTATAAGTTTAATTGTAAGTTATATTCTTGTTTCGACCGTATCTTTCATTATCAATCGTTGCTAGATGATTTCCAGTAAAGTAATATAATATAATTTTTGTTTCAAAAAAAATAATAATTTGCACAATTTGATTAAGTGTCTTGACAAGACATATGTCAAGACGGATACAAATAATTTTTTCTTTCAAAAAATGTGTAAAATTATATTCTACATATTTTTTTTTCCTTTTTGGAAATATTTGAGTATGTATCTTATGGTTTACATACTTGCACATGCCATTTCATATGTTTCTTTATTAACAGAGGAGAATTATGCAGCAAATTAAACTTTCTGTTTTACAATTTTTATATCGAGACCCGTACAACCATTTTAGTTGAACTGACAATTAATATCATGCTCTTATTTACAAAATACAATAATAACAAAATAATTAATCATATATATTAAAACAAAAAATTTTCAGCATGTTTGGCACAAATCTATGAAGTGAAAATTATGGGTTGACAAATACTTATCAATTAGATGTTGTAATTTTTTATTTAACTTTGTAATTTAACTTATTTACGAGTCGAAATCTCATCATAACTTCATATCTTCCGTGTTGAATGAATTCGTAAATCATAACAAATTTTGTCTGGATTATTACCGTTTAAAATATTTTTAAAAAAACTTATCCATTTTTTTTAGATAGACTTGATAAGATAATTTTTAGTTTGAATTATATTTAATCTTATATGTTAAAATAGGAGAGATTTAAAACCGATTTCTGTTAAGATATTCTTCAGATCCATTTTTAGATGAACAAAAATATTTTTTTAACGAAATTTGTTGGGAAGACAACCAAGCACCATGAGAACCATCATAACAATCTTACTCCTCTCTTGAAGGCCGCCTCATCAGGCAGTCTCAATATGGCGCGTCTCGTTGTTGACCCTGTTTCACAACTCATCGCCGGTGGCCATCTACACGGCGTGCCTGACTCCGGCGGTGCCCCCCAAGCCGTATTATTATCAAAATTAATCGAGTCTATTTGTAAATGTCATGAACTCAGGGACCAAAATGTAGAATTGTCTCTCATTATTATCTTCTTGTCTGTTGTGGCGTCTTTTTCTATACAAATCTGTGGGGATCCTTTGTTCCTCGTGTTTAGGACATGTGCTACGATCTCTTTGAAGGGTACACCGGACTTCAATCGTACGATTGTTGGGGCAGCCTTTCATCAAATGCTGGAGATTCTTTTCACGAGAATGGAGGACAACTCATTGCCCCTCAGCCCATTAAGGTTGCGGACTTAATGGATCTCTTGGAGAAGCCTGAGGAGGAAATGAATATTATGCATGATTTTATTGCAAAGAATATACCCCAGGCTATGAATATTGTTGTAAACCCTACAATTGGGCCAGCTGACCATGCATTTGCGGTGTTTGAAGAATTGAGCGAGCTTGTAGTGAAGATTGGCCCTGAACAGGCCTTAGCTCTGAAGTTGATCAACATTCTTTGGAAGAATGGTTGTCTGTATTTAGGACTAGTCACAGGTTTAGTTGGTAATGATTATTTATTTAGTTTTGTATACTTTTTGCTTTACAATTCTTTTTCTACATTAAATTATTTACATGACATCTTCAGCTTCAGTATTTTATTTATCAGCTTACTTGAAGGATTCTGTTAATTAATTTTTACTATATATATATAGTAACAAACTCTCTTATATATAATTAACTTTTACTATATTAATTTTTACTAATTTTTACTCTCTTAATTTTTACTACATTAAAATATATATATATATATATATATATATATATATTGTCAATATCTCAGTCTCACTCCCTGTTTGTTCATTTTCTATTCACTAACAAACTCTCTTATCTCGCTATATTCTTCTCCATCTCCCCTCCTCTCTTCTCTTCTAGCTTTATTGAATTTCTATTTGTAGAGATGGTTGTTGTTTTTTTTTTCTACAGAAAGACGGTTAGTTCCAAAGAAATTATATGCTAATGTTAATCTTTTTTAACATGGTTATTCAGTTGTTGCTGAAGATTTCATTGATCCGTCACATCTCTTTCTTTCTTTCCTTCTTTTCTTTCTTTTTTTTTTAAAAAAAATATGATGCAAGATAGCTAGAGGTTTGACATTGATATTGTTTTCTCATTTTAAGGTACTTTTCGTTACTCTTTAGTCTTTAAACCCGTCAATTCTCATCAATTATATTTATGACTGCATATCTACTCTGATGAAGAAGCTTATTAGTTTATTTTTTATTTTTCGCATCTATTGACTCATTTTCACGCTTTGGCCAAAGTATGAAGGTTTGCTAATTTATGAGTTTCATTCTGCAAGAAAACTTTGGAAGGGGCCTATGGGATTCTATACAACAATTTATATGTAGAATAGAGTGGAACTTTGGAAGTATATTTTACATTTTCTACGTTTCGAAAATTTCAAACTCAATCAAAGAAAAAGTCATGAACTGTGAACACATTTCTTAAAATTCATAATTAGTATCTGATATGCTTATATTTTACCTATTTATTATATCCCTAATTTGTGATTTTTGCAATATATTTTGAGTACAAATATGCTATTTATATGATTTTATCTTTATTTGTAGGTTTTATACTCAAATGGAAGAATTGTTGAGATTTTGGACTAAATTGAAAAGAAAAAAAGGACCTCAAAGGGAGAATTGAAGATTTGATAAATTGACAAGGAAGAAATTGAAGCACTTGAAGAGTTGGAGGAGTTTTAATTTAAATTAGCTTGAAAAAAAAATAACTTTCTTATTCTTGAAGAAATAGGGTTTAAGGAAATCCTATAAAAAGAGGATTAAGATTTTATTTTTGAGGAGAGATTTAACCACAAAACTACTTCTCCATCACCTCATCCCCCCACCTTTGCCGACCATCACCTTAATCATCATCCACAACACCTCCACGCACCAAACCCTTTCTCCACCTACCAACTCCGCCGAAATCCATCATCACCAATTTCACCCCCATCTCCACACACCATCACCATCAAACCCATCACCACACCAAATCAGCCCCAAAATTCCACGCCTCCATCTCACCCCACCAACACCAACTTCACGCCACACCATCATCATCTTCACGCATCATCGGAGGAGAAAGCAAGCAATTTTGGACTCCCGGGTTTCATTGTTTAATTTATTTTTGAGATGATGTGTAGTTAAATTATTTTAATTTAGGGTTTTGGATGTAGCCACCGTACTATTTAATTTAATTTAAGTTATGATTGTGACTTTTTCATTAATTAATATTTATTATTCTTGTTTTTCATCCATGTGAATATCTGATCAATATTTGCATGCTTTAAGGTGCTAGCTGAAGTAGCGAGAGTGGAAGGCTAGTATTAGTTTGTAGGAATAATAAACTTAGGTAGTGAGCCACGAGAGTAGGAACACTGCCTTTGCGACTAGTAATTCTAAAGTTCTTAATGTGCTTTTATTAATCCCTATAGTCACGAGAGTAGTCATAGGTTTAGTTTAAGTAAGAGGGTTATAACACGAGAGTATATAATTCTTAAATTGGTGAATTGTCGTGAGATTAATGAGCGTGGAAAGTCACATATCTATAGATTAAATACCCATAAAAATTGAAAAAATTGAAAAATCCAAAAAGGCCTAGGATTATGATGGTTTAATTATCTATAACATGTAAGAATTAGACTATTTTGAATTGTATTGCTTAACTTATGTATTTCTATATGTTGCTTTGAATACCCTGCTTTTATGCACTTAGTCGTAATTGTGGGATAAGCCTAAAGTGAGACATAGTTGCATGAGTTTGATGTAGATATGCGATAAAAAGTTGTGTTTGATTCACTCATACTTATATGATTTGTATGTGGAACCCATCATGTTGTGAAGGAAAAGCAAGGCATTAACCCAATATCAGCCTTAAAAAACCTTATTGATTTGACACTTTGTGTTAAGTAAGTTTGGGAGAGGGGTGTTGGCGGATGCTTCTGAGATTAGGTTAATTTTAATGAGGGAGAAAGGAAGAGCATTCAAAGTTGATGCTAGCCTATTGAGAAGTGAGGAATTGGCAACCTGAGTGGAGAGTCCTCAGGCCCGGTGAGGAAAAATAGATATGTAGACTGCCCTAAGTTGCTGAGCCACTATGTATGGGAGTGGAAAAATGCTTTGGGTAGTGGCCTGAGTTGGAAAGAGTCCTGAAGAAAAGCCGCATGGACCGAAGAATGGGTTACGAGGGGGAATAGGTTGTCTGTGAGATAAGTCCTTCTACTTCGTAGCATGTCTAATGGTCCATTGCATTGAAATATGGTATGAAATGTGAGTTTGTTGTTAAAGTAAAATGGCATATTTGTAGCAGAGCTTTTATTTTCTATGTTAAATGTAAAGTGATGTCCTTGAGAAGCGGATCGCGCACACACAAACACGCATGGGGGGCTAAAAAAGTAGCTATAATTTGCATATTGTTGTGTAGTCCATACTAGAGGTAAATATTAAATCTCTGAGGCCGCCGAATTAAATAACTAAATGTTTTTATTTGTTTTAATCTTTGAAAATGCTTGAGGACAAGCAATAATTCAAGTTTGGGGGTATTTGATATTCCTATATTTTATCTATTTATTATATCCCTAATTTGTGATTTTTGCAATGTATTTTGAGAACAAATATGCTATTTATATGATTTTATCTTTATTTGTAGGTTTTGTACTCAAATGGAAGAATTGTTGAGATTTTGGACTAAATTGAAAAGAAAAAAAGCAACTCAAAGGGAGAATTGAAGATTTGATAAATTGACAAGGAAGAAATTGAAGCACTTGAAGAGTTGGAGGAGTTTTAATTTAAATTGGCTTGAAAAAAAAATAACTTTCTTATTCCTGAAGAAATAGGGTTTGAGAAAAGCCTATAAAAAGAGGATTAAGATTTTATTTTTGAGGAGAGATTTAACCACAAAACTACTTCTCCATCACCTCAGCTCCTCCACCTCTGCTGACCATCACCTTAATCATCATCCACAATACCTCCACGCACCAAACCCTTTCTCCACCTACCAACTCCGCCGAAATCCATCATCACCAATTTCATCCTCATCTCCACACACCATCACCATCAAATCCCATCACCACATCAAATCAGCCCCAAAATTCCATGCCTCCATCTCACCCCATCAACACCAACTTCACGCCACACCATCATCATCTTCACGCATCATCGGAGGAGAAAGCAAGCAATTTCGGACTCTCGGGTTTCACTGTTTTATTTATTTTTGAGATGATGTGTAGTTAAATTATTTAATCTAGGGTTTTGGATGTAGCCATCGTACTATTTAATTTAATTTAAGTTATGATTGTGACTTTTTTATTAATTAATATTTATTATTCTTGTTTTTCATCCATGTGAATACCTGATCAATATTTACATGCTTTAAGGTGCTAGCTGAAGTAGCGAGAGTGGAAGGCTAGTATTAGTTTGTAGGAATAATAAACTTAGGTAGTGAGCCACGAGAGTAGGAACACCGCCTTTGGGACAAGTAATTCCAAAGTTCTTAATGTGCTTTTATTAATCCATATAGTCACGAGAGTAGTCATATGGTTAGTTTAAGTAAGAGGGTTATGACACGAGTGTATAATTCTTAAATTGATAAATTGTCGTGAGATTGATGAGCGTCGAAGTCACATATCTATAGATTAAATTAAACTGAATTGTCGGTTGGTGAACCCTTTGCTCTAGGTTTTTCTTTTACTTATTTATATCTTTAAATAATTGCAATTGATAGTTTTAGGTTTAGATTAGTTTAAATTGATAAATTTTTAATCTAAATAATAATAAGAAATCATTTTAACCGGTACTTGGTAACCTTCTCTGTGGGATCGACCATACTTTTTGCTTTACTGCTAGTAATTGTATTAAGTAGGTAATTAATATTTGACTAGTGTAACAACGGCTTGTCAGTATCGAACAAAAATGATAATAATCATGCTTCCAGACCTCAACAATCATAATTATTGTAAAATTTTCATATGTAACCAACAAGTTGTTCATAAAAATATATATCTTATGATCCATGCTATTTATGTATAAAGGGAATATGATCAAATATAATATCTATGGGAAAATCTAGAGTCATGTTGGCCATTTTTACAGAACTGTCCCGGTTTTTTCTTCAATCAATCAATATTGATGATATATGATGTAATCATCCCAAACTAATTTCTATTTTTAAAAAAATTTTAAAAATATTATAACCTGTTGAATACAAAATTATATAACTGAGTAAAACAGTCAAGAATTTAACCACAAAAAAAAGGTAAAATGCGAATGAGGAGTTGGTTCAGTGGTAAAACCACCCTTGCTCCAAGAGGAGGTCATGAGTTCAATCGCTACTCCAACAAAAAGTGAGGAGTTGGCTCTCACCTTGCCTATTGGCACCTCTAGGGGCTTGTTATGGCTAACCCACTAATGAACCCCCAATTTCACACCCGAGCTTGTCACCCCGAGCTTGCCTAGGGTGATTTACCTTCCACTGTGGTTTGCAGGCTATTGCAGTTGGCGTGGGTTTACCCATCTCTGGTGGGGTTCCCGGTGTTACCAAAAAAAAAGGTAAAATGAAAAAGTCAAAAGAATTGCCTTATTCCCCCCAACTCCCTCCAAAACGGCGGTCAAAGACAACCCTCACCACGC